ATCTCGGCTCACTGCAACATCTGCCTCCCTATTCAAGAGATTCTCCTGCCTCAGTCTCCAGAGTAGCTGGGACTACAGGCACCTGCCACCACACTTGGCCAAGTTTTGTGTTTTTAGTAGAGATACGGTTTCACCATATTGGCCAGGCTGGTCTCAAACTCCTGGCCTCGTGATCCAGCCACCTTACCTCCCAAAGTGCTGGGATTACAGGTGTGGGCCACCATGCCCAGTCTCACTTCTTTTTCAAAATGAAAATGGCTTTATTGGCTGGGTGCAGTGGCTCAGCAGCTACTCAGGAGGCTGAGGTGAGAATCGCTTGAACCAGGGAGGCAGAGGTTGCAGTGAGCTGAGATCGCACCATTGCACTCCAGCCTGGGAAACAAGAGCGAAACTCCATGTCAAAATTAAAAAAAAAAAAAAAAAAGAGAGAGAAAATGGCTTTATTATCTTTTTCTGATTATAAAGGAAATGCTTGCCCATTATAAAATAAAATTTCAGACAAGTATATAGCAAGGGAGCGGGCCAGGTGCAGTGGCTGATGCCTGTAATCCCAGCACTTTGGGAGGCAGAGGCAGGCAGATGACCTGTGGCTGGGAGTCTGAGACCAGCCTGACCAACATGGAGAAACCCCATCTCTACTAAAAACACAAAATTAGCCGGGCACAGTGACTCATGCTTGTAATCCCAGCACTTTGGGAGGGAGAGGTGGGCAGACCACGAGGTCAGTAGTTCAAGACCAGACTGGCCAACATGGTGAAACTCCATCTCAATAAAATAAATAAATAAATAAAATATAAAAGAAAAATACAAAATTAGCTGGGTGTGGTGGTGCATGCCTGAAAGCCCAGCTACTTGGGGGGAAAGAAGAATTGCTTGAACCTGGGAGGTGGAGGTTGCTATGAGCCGAGCTTGCACCATTGCACTCTAGCCTGGACAACAAGAGTGAAACTTCATCTCAAAAAAAAAAAAGGAGGGAGTGAAAAAGTCACCCATCAGGTGATTCCCAGAGATCCTGCTACTGGCATTTTGGAGCACATCCTTCCAGACTTTCTCCGTGTGTCTGCACACAACAGAGACACATATTTGTAAAGTTACCAATAAGTCCAGATGTCTGCCCTCATTTGGAGGAGCTGCCCCGTGTTCCTTTCATCCTCTCATCTTCTCTCTCCCCAGCTGAAGATCTAACAGAAGGCCATGGCAAGGACTTAATAATTTTTTTTTTGGACAGGGTCTGTCTCTGTGGCCCAGGCCAGAGTGTAGTGCTGTGATTTTGGCTCACTGCAGCCTCAGCCTCCCAAGCTCAAACCATCCTCCCACCTCAGCCTCCCAAGTAGCTGGGATCCCAGGTGTGCACCACCACATCCAGCTAATTCGTGTATTTTTGGTAGAGATGGGTTTTGCCATGTTGCCCAGGCTGGTCTCGAACTCCTGGGCTCAAGCAGTCCTCCCACTTTGACTCTCAAAGTTCTGGGATTACAGGCACGAGTCAACATGCCTGGCCTCCTGGCCAATAAGCTTTTTTTTTTTTTTTTTTTTTTTTGAGACGGAGTTTCGCTCTTGTTACCCAGGCTGGAGTGCAATGGCGCGATCTCGGCTCACCGCAACCTCCGCCTCCTGGGTTCAGGCAATTCTCCTGCCTCAGCCTCCTGAGTAGCTGGGATTACAGGCACATGCCACCACACTTGGCTAATTCTTGCATTTTTAGTAGAGATGGGGTTTCATCCTGTTGGCCAGGCTTGTCTTGAACTCCTGACCTCAGGTGATCCACCTGCCTGGATTCCCAAAGCACGGGGTTACAGGCATGAGCCACCGTGCCTGGCCCAGACAAGATTTTAATGAGCTTAATAAAGGCATCTAAAGATGGCGTTATGGTTTTAACAATTTAACTGCGAAGAACTCCAGTGAGTTCACATGCATATGAGTCTGGTGGGAGGAACATGTGCTTGGGGCCAGACCAGCTGAGCTCTAGACTTCTCTTTGCCGTTTTCCTACATGGGCCAGCCAGTCCCCTCACCTCTCTGAACCTCATCTGCAGTTGAATATATGTGAAACCGGGTGTGAAGTACTATGTACTGTGTAGAATAGGAAGTACTATGTGCTAGGTACTATATAGAGGGATCGCTGGGATTCTGTGGCAGAATAGGGCAGAGACTTTGATTTCTCAGTCCAGGAAGAAGGCAAGAATTTTAGTTTCCCTGGAAGAGACCTAAAGGTAAGTCTCATCACATACATCCAAGAGCCCTAGAAACGTTGAGAGCTCAAAAGCACTTCAGAGATCAGAGGAGTCCCCACTAATGCAGTAATTGTAAACATGTGTCCATGGCCTAATTGAGAGATGGGATCGATGTGTGCATCTTCGGCATTCTATGTCTGGCTTGAGGTCCTGGAGCTTCCTGAGACTCATAGTTCTCTTCCTGGTTCTGCCCCAGTGAGGCATATGGCCGTAGGCATGTTCCTGAAGCCTCTGGGCATGCTGATTTTCTCCTCTGTGAAACAGAGTTTATGACCCTGCTGTACCTGTCTCACAGAGTTACTGGGAGGTGCAAATGAGGCCCCACATGTGAAAGTGTTTTGGAAGGGGATAGTGTTTCTCACCCACAAAGCTGCCTCATGGCAGTGCCAGGCCACTGCCGCAGGGCACAAAGAAATGATGGGCACAGGCAACCCAGACCCTACTTCAAGGTGGGTCTTCCAGGGTGGGGAGTCTACAGAGAGTCCGTGAGTGCCTACTGTGCCAGGCACTGCTCTGGCGCTTCTGGGGTGATACAGGGAGAAAGGACAGACAGGGCCCCTGCTTTCAGAGCTTAGCTTCTGGAGGGAGGTAGACAATAAGAAGGGACACAGGGTTGGGCGCAGTGGCTGACACCTATAATCCCAGCACTTTGGGAGGCCCAGGCAGATGGATCACCAGATCAGGAGTTCAAGATCAGCCTGACCAACATAGTGAAACCCTGTCTCTACTAAAAATACAAAATTTAGCCAGGTATGGCAGCATGCACCTGTAATTCCAGCTACTAGGGAGGATGAGGCAGGAGACTCTCTTGAACCCGGGAAGCGGAGGTTGCAGTGAGCCGAGGTCGTCCTACTGCACTCCAGTCTGGGTGACAGTGAGACTTCATCTAAAAAAAAAAAAAGTTCTGTTTCTTATAGACTGTGTTGGGGGCGGCAGTGAATGTTAAGGGCTTGCAAGGGCTTTATGCGTGAACAGCACAACCTCCTGAACCTTCCTTTTTTTTTTTCTTTTTTTTCTTTTTTTAAAAGATGGGGTTTTACCACGATGGCCAGGCTGGTCATGAACTCCTGACCTCAGGTGATCCACCCACTTCGGCCTCCCAAAGTGTTAGGATTACAGGCGTGAGCCACCGCGCCCAGCCCCTCCTGAACCTGCCTAGCAGAAAGTTGAGACAGAGAGCGAGCTTGCCTAAGGTCACTTCACTGCTCCATCCTGGGGTGGCATTCAAGCCCAGGTCTCACATCCCAGATGCAGCCTCTACACCCAAGACTGCCCCTCCAGGAGAGGTTGGGAGGGGGTTCACTGAGGCCACATGGTGGAAGGAGGACCCAGAATAGGCCCCTCTCAGCTCTCCAAGGTTTCCTGTTTCAGCCAGTGAGATCCCAGCACTGGGTTCCAGAAAGGAAGTGCATTGCCCATGCTAGGCCCTGTCTGGTGTCATGAGGCTTAGCACTCAGCCCTCAGTTGGCAGGGGCAAGGAGGAGGGGTCAGCTCCATGAACCCAGACAGCCAAGAGCAATCTGATCCAGCAGGAAGCTGGCCTCCAGCCAGACCAAGCATTGATGGCACCTGGAGCCTTTGTTCCCTTTATTCCCGTTGCAAACTTTCCCAGCACCTGTGCTGGGCCTCAGGAGCACCTGGGCCGGGAAGGGGCTCCCACGGGATCTGGTTCTCCTGCAGCAGGGAGTGGCCAGCTCCTGATCTGAGGGAGGAGGCCTCGTGATAAAACAACAATTGCGTCCACTTACAGAGCTCACTATGGCCAGGTGTGTCATTCCCATAACAAACCCAGGGGCGTGTACTGTTATTATCCCATTTAACAGATCAGGAAGTGCAAGCACAGAGAGGGAAGGTGACCTGAAGTGAAAATACTGTGGGCTTTGGAATGAGCAAACCCCAGCCCTGTTTGCCTCTGTGACCTTGGGCAAGACATGTCAGCTTCACAGAGCCTGTCATCTGATGCTGACCTCGAAGACTGCAGTGGGCATTGAATGACTGGATATAAGCAAAGCCTCTGGCACCAAGCTCTGGATCCACATTGTCTTTGTAACCCCCTCCCACCAGAGTTCTGTGACCTCGGGCTTGTTACTACCACTGTGCGTCAGTTTCCTCCAGTAAACAGGTATAAGAATATTACCTAATAAGGCTGTTGAAAGCCTGCAGCTCTTTGGAGAGGAATAGCTCGTGCTCCTGAGACCATCCAAGGAAGATGCCATTAACATTGCCCTCTTTGCTTTCTATCAAAATAAACAAAGAAACACAAATAGAAAAACCGGTCTTAGGCTGGGCACAGTGGCTCATGCCTGTAATCCCAGCACTCTGGGAGGCCGAGGCCAGCGGGATCACAAGGTCAGGAGATCGAGACCATCCTGGCCAACATGGTGAAACCTCAACTCTACTAAAAATATAAAAAATTGGCCGGGCACTGTGGCTCAAGCCTGTAATCCCAGCACTTTGGGAGGCCGAGGCGGGTGGATCACGAGGTCAAGAGAACGAGACCATCCTGGTCAACATGGTGAAACCCCGTCTCTACTAAAAATACAAAAAATTAGCTGGGCATGGTGGTGCATGCCTGTAATCCCAGCTACTCAGGAGGCTGAGGCAGGAGAATCGCTTGAACCTGGGCGGCGGAGGTTGCAGTGAGCCGAGACCGCGCCACTGCACTCCAGCCTGGCACCTGGCGACAGAGAAAGACTGTCTCAAAAAATAAAAGAGAAAAAGAAAAACCGGTCTTAGAGTTATTTTCCCTTTGAGACAAAAGCCAACATTACTCACACAGTTAAACCCAGAAGATTTTCTCAGAAGGAAAACCAGAAGTGACAACTCAAGTCCCAACGTGGCTACCAGGATTCTATTTCCACACCCTCAGACGGGACAAATGACCCCCGCCCCGGGAAGCAGCAGTGACAAGAGGACAAGATGGATTGTTGTAGGCACACATAAAGTCGGGAAAGGCCGGCGTGGTGGCTCACGCCTGTAATCCCAGCACTTTGGGAGGCGGAGGTGGGTGGATCACCTGAGGTCTGGAGTTCGAGACCTCTGGCCAACAAGGCGAAACCCCGTTTCTACTAAAAATATGAAAATTAGCCTGGCATGGTGGTCTGTGCCTGTAGTTCCAGCTACTCAAGAGGCTGAGGCAGGAGAACCAGAGACTCGGAGGTTGCAGTGAGTGGAGATCGCACCACTGCACTCCAGCCTGGGCGACAGAGCAAGACTCTGTTTAAACAACAACAAAAGATAGAAGAAGTCACAGACAAGGTCTTGTATCTCCACAGTGCCTGGCTACCATAGGCACTCAGTAAATGTAGGAGTAAGTGCAAAAATGACTTAATGAAGCAAAGCTTAAGTCGTTTTCGGGAACGGCAGGTCATTCAGCTGGGCTGGAGAAGAGGTCCTTTTGGAAAACGTAATGCAGAGGGAGGGGGATCGAAGCCAGATGCGGACGATCTTGCTGAAAAGCACGGTCTTTGCCTTGACCACCCCATGCAGTCCCGATGCCGGCAGGGCTGGGAGCAGCTGGCCAGGCAGCGAGGCTCCCACAGGCTCTGCGTGGCCCCATCTGTGAGTTGTGGCTGCCACGCCCATGCTATCCGGCCTCGCCAGCCAGGCTCCGCCCAGCACCCTAACCAGCACCACAGCCACCCAAGGTCATGCCCCAGACACCACCCGCCCAGCTGGCTCCTGGGCAAAGCTGCCAGCACAGCACTTCTGCTCACTCTGTAATTTAAACATGACCTCCTCTTCAGCCTGGAGCCCTCGTGGCTTTCTGCCCCGCAGACATACACTCCGCTGCGGGGAGCTGCTGGCACAGAAGAGGTCTGGAGTCTCGTGGGAACTCCCGGACCTCGGCTACGAGGCGACTCCTCCCAGCTCCGCGAGGCTGAGGCTGGACGCGGTCCGGGCTCCTTAGTCCAGGACTAGGGAGACTACGCCCCCTTGTGGCCGGGAGCCGCCCAGCACCTTTGCCTTATTTGTTTAAAGAAGATACCTTTCTGAAAAACCAAGAATATCAATAATTTAGGTTATGCAGGTTGACAGCTCAAAGAATCTCATAGCAAAGAATTTTTGAAAAATCTGTTTTGCATTTGCCAAAACCAAAGCAAACGTTTCTGACTCTAATTTCTTTTAATTAATTTATTTTTTGAGAGTTTTGCTCTTGTTGCCCAGGCTGGAGTGCAGTGGCACAATCTCAGCTCACTGCAAACTCCACCTGTCGAATTTAAGCAATTTTCCTGCCTCAGTTTCCTGAGCAGCTAGAACTACAGGCATGCACACTACACCCAGCTAATTTTTGCATTTTTAGTAGAGATGGGCTTTCACCATGTTGGCCAGGCTGGTCTCAAACTCTTGACCTCCTTTGTTTCTCCAGCCTTGGCCTCCCAAAGTGCTAGGATTACAGGCATGAGCCACCGTGTCCAGCCCCTAATTTCTTCCTTTCCTATTCCTTTTCCTTCCTTCCCTTTCTTTCTTGAGATGGAGTTTTGCTCTGTCACCCAGACTGGAGTGTAGTGGGCACAATTTTGGCTCACTGCAATCTCTGTCTCCCAGGTTCAAGCGATTCTTCTGCCTCAGTCTCCTGAATAACTGGGACTACAGGCACCCACCTCTATGCCCAGCGAATTTTTTTTATTTTTAGTCTACTAAACTGATCTCCATGAGGTTTTTCCATGTTGGCCAGGCTGGTCTGGAACTCCTGACCTCAGGTGATCCACCTGCCTCAGCCTCCCGAAGTGCTGGGATTACAGATGTGAGCCACTTCACCTGGCTTCATTTCTTTTAATGCTAAACTGTGAAGTCAGGAGGACGGGGTGTCTGAAAATTGCTTTAATTATTTGCCAGCTCCATGAAGAATCTTCCCAGCTAAATATGCTCCGTGAGGTTGCTGAGCACGCCTTCTGCGTTTTCTTTTTTTCTCTTGTTGTGTGAGGGGTAATGCAATAGCCTTCTGCTTTTTTCCCTTATTCTAAGAGCTTATGAGGGCAGTAGATCCCTAGTTCTCTGAATGAATGCAAAGGTAGAGGGCTCCTCTCTACATGTTCCTGAGCCTTGGAAACAAAGCCTTTCACCTCCACAGTGTTTGTTTACAGTGGAAACATACTTCTGAGTGTCTGTGACATGAACTCATTTACAAGCATTTTGTTGGCGTTACACAATGCCCTGTGTTCGGTGCCAGTTATTTGTGGTTGTGGAGGAGGAGGATGATGATTCAAGAAAACTAGATTCTGATCTCAGGGGTCTGTTTCCACTTCAGACACAATATACACATATGAGACAAGTTGCAAACAATTACAAAACAGCAGCAGAGTGTCAATGAAAAATACACGTGCAGAGAGCCGGGAATCAGCGTGGGAGGAAGGCTGATGGCAGGGTGCTTACTGGAAACATGGTTAGAGAGGAGTCTGGAAGAAGGCCAGGCTCACTGATGGAGACCTTTCGGGGGCTGGATTGATGTTAAATAGGAAGCCAGCATCTACTCATCTCTGGAGATAGAACCGTTATGTCCCCCAAGGCACCATGGCCCGCCTGGCACGTACTCTCACTGGTTTGCCTTGCAAAGATTCCACAGTCCTCTCCACCTTCTTACTCCCACCATTTGGCTGCCACAAATAGAAATCACTGCTAGGGATACCCGGTCCACCTGCACACCTCTTCCAGCTCCTAGCAGGCTTCAGACTGTACCAGGGAGCATCAGAGCACAGCTCACTAGCAACACTGCTTATGCCCTGGTCTACCCCTGCCTCTGTCTTCCAAGGGAAAAACCAAGTCCTTTGAATCCCCAGAGCCACGAGGTCCCCAGCTCATGAAGCCAGGGCTGCCACTCACTCTGCAGAGAACACCTGAGCAGCATGGCTGCAGGCCCTACTCATTGATGGGGCTGCAGCCAACCGCAGGTGACAGCTCTCCACTCTGACTGTGACTGCCCTTGAAGCTTGTCCCAGTCACGAGGTTCTGTATAGAGACCATGGATTATGAAATGCAATACCTGAAGCTGTGTAGCTTGGGGGCAGGAGGCAACTGTTTTTAACCACCTCTCAGGCCAGGAAGGTCATTAGTGAGGAATGTTGCGTGTGGGAGATTGTAATTTTT